CCAGCACCGTGAACAGTAGCAGCAAGAACAGATCACCGCAGCAATCCACAACAACAGCAACAAATATTTGGTGCGTGTTAAAGTTAATATACAGTGACGTTAAGGTAAGAAATATATATTTTATTATTAGGTTTTCATCATCTTTTTGTTTTCTATCAAATTTAATTATAATTTATCCTCTAAATAGTAGATTTTTCTCAATCCCTTTGCTTTTGAAGCAATTTTAAAGTTTACTGACTCTCTACTTTCTATGTAAACGATTTTTAGTATATTTTTTAATTTCTTTTTTGTAAATACCAGATTTTGTTTTTGAATTTAATCATAATTTTTCGTTCTATGTAAACGATTTGAACGTATTTTTAATATTTTGCTATAATTTTCTAAATATTTTTAATCAAAATTTTTTAAATTGAGAGAACTTTTTATTCAAAACTTAACGAGGTATCTTTAATTACAGAAAGGAAACATAAACCAATAATTAAATTGAATACTCTACCTATTGGAACTCCATTTAAAATTATCCAGTCAAAAATAATACAAGGGAAATTTGGCCTAGGGATTTTGGTTGAACTGGAGCACAGTGTAACTTTTTTACCACAACGGGTTGTAGAAACTTACAAACCATACCTACATCACCTCACAGACAGGCAGTACAGTCTCACATTCAGAGGAACCGTTGACACAGGAAAACCGCATCCAGCTGCATCTTTTGAAATTGTCGAAAATTAAGGATAAAAGGGTAAGCGATTTTTTTTAATATTTTTTATTTGCCAGTGTTAAAATGAATCCTTTTAGTGTTATTAAACAATCTGACGGGGTATTGTCGGCTATAAAAAACTTAGAAAAATTTTATTCGATAATTTTACAATTAGAGATGCTGAGGTTTGGCTAAAACGACTACAAAGACAGATTACATCATGTAATAAAGCAATTCGTAGTAGACGGCAATATAATTTATCTATTGGTGCTCTACGTAAATTGGAAACTAATGTGGGACATTTTAAACATTTTAGAAAATTAATTTTGAATAGACATATTGGTATGGGCATACAATCAAAATTGGGGCAACGCGTAAAATGGGCTAATGTAGAATCTAGTTTTAAAAGTAGAGCTACAACCGGAATTATAGTTAATTTACGTCATAAAGACTTAGATTCATTTTTGGATGATTGTGTAATTATTTTTAAAAATAAAATTAATAAATTTTTAAAAGCAAATCAAGCACTTAAAGCTAATACTACATTTTGTGGCGAATTCATCAAAAAATCTAACGATAATGAGATTTTAGATTTAAAATATTTCAATACTAAAAATGCTGTTATTGATAAATCGACTGAAATAACAGAGTGGTTTAGAGATAATGTGCAAGATAAAATTTTAAATAAATTGTCGGAATTTTCGGAGAAAGATAGTGGGTGGGCATTAAGTAAAATCGTATCATTAGCAGTAAACGTAAATAAATATGAAATGGATGAAATTTTAAAAAAACAAGCTTACATTAATATTAAAAATACCGATCAGGCTTTCTGCACATAATTTCAGATCGCAGCGAATTGTGTTTTTGTAATACATCTTCACCCCTTACAAAAAGCACACGGTTGGATGTTGAGAATTCTTCTTAAAACAAATTGTAGCAAGAGGTTTGTTAACCAACGATATATATGGTTGCACACAGAACTCGCGATGAAAATCGGAGAATCGAAACGATTAAAGTGTATCTTTGTAGGGTTGTATATATGTAGACTAATACGATGGGTATATTTTCATTTTACTGGCTAATTATGTTTAATTTTAGTAAAGTCTCAGCTATTTTAGAAAGGGTAAAATTCATAGATTTGATTGTTAAAGTTCTTTATAAATCTAGACAATTTTTAGCAATAAAAAGGAAAAAACAGAAGATTCTGTAGGGAAGGAGAGGAAACATTTCATTTTTACTTAGTTTTTAAATTTAAACAATTTAACTAATAAAAATGGAAAAAGCAGTAGGATGGAAAAATGAAAACATTTAATTTTTCTACTTTTTTAAATCTACACAATTTTAATTATTAAAAAGGAGAAAACTATAGGTTCGTTAAGGAAGAAAAACATTTTATTTTTCTACTTTCTAAATCTGAACAATTGTATTTATTAAAAAGGGGGAGAACTGTAGGATCTGTAAGGAATGAGAGGAAACATTTTATTTTTCTTTGTAAATCTAGATAATTTTAAATAATAAAAAAAGGAGAAAGCAGTAGAAATGAAGAAAAGAAAACATGTTATTTTCTACCTAAAAAGTTCTTTCTAAATCTAGAAAACTTTTTAATAATATTAATTCTACTATTAAATATGAAGGAAACTGTGGATTCTGCTAGAAAGGGGAGAAAGCATATATGTTTTCTCGAAATAATTATATATCATTATGATATATTCAACGCCGTCTTCTTTATAGAATCTTTCAAGAGGTACGTCTCTAGTATTTTTCAACATTTGCTTATTGATTCGTATTTCTTCGTGCTTGTTTTGCCTTTGTTCTCACAATTTTCGTCTTTGTTCAACAGCATTTTTAAAACTATTAGATTTTGTCTTATTTTTAAATAGAGGTCTAATGATGGAACTAAACTATAATTTGTCAGCTTAATGCCTTAAATGCCCTCTTGAAACAAGGTGGGCGCGAGGTATATCCAAAAATTTGTTTGTAAAGTTGATGGTCCTTAGGAGTTAAATTTGTTGGTTTCTTAGAAAATAATAATTCATATAAACCAGGAGTAGCATTAAACTTGGTATCACCTAGAACTATATTATGTTTATCAAATTCTAGTTCCTTAGTACCCATTAGCCATTTATTATCTATATAAACAAGTCCTTAACAGTTATCATAATTGATACATTTTTAGCCATAATTTTCTAGATATTAGTTTTTTTTCTGCTTCGTTTACTTCAACTATTTGTTTTAATGGTTCTATCACACTGTTTAAAAAGTTCAGTTCTTTTCTATCAACTTCCATTTTCTTCAGGGAGTTATACTTTTTTGAATAACACGTCTAAGTTCTACAATTTTTCGTTTACGTGCTGCATCCACTGACATCTTTATAAAATCTAATGTATTTTTATGGTAACACACACTAATTTATACTGTGACCTACGGTCTTCGACTCTTCTTTAGAGAGGTCTTCAGACATCTTTTATAAAATATATTGTATTTTTGAGGTAACACACTAATTTATACCGTGTTCTTTTACGGTGTTCGACCCCTCTTTAGACGTCTTCAGATATCTTCTGAAACGTTGTTCAGAGGTCTTTAGAAACGTTCTTCAGAGCTCTTCAGGTGTCTTCTGAAACGATCTTCAGATGTCTTCAGAGGTCTTCAGAAGTGTTCAGATGTCTTTAGATACGTTCTACAGAGGTGATCAGATGTCTTTAGATACATTCTTCAGATGTCTTTAGATACATTCTTCAGATGTCTTTAGAAACGTTCTTCAGAGGTCTTCAGATATCTTCTGAATCGTTCTTCGGAGGTGTTCAGATGTCTTCAGAGGTGTTCACATATCTTCTGAATCGTTCTTCAGAGGACTTTAGAAACGTTCTTCAGAGCTTTAGGTGTCTTCTGAAACGGTCTTCAGATGTCTTCAGAGATATTTAGAAACGTTCTTCAGAGCTCTTCTGGTGTCTTCTGAAATGGTCTTCAGATGTCTTCAGAGGTATTTAGAAACGTTCTTCAGAGCTCTTCAGAGGTCTTCAGAGGTGTTCAGATGTCTTCAGATATATTCTTTAGATGATTTTAGATATATTTAGACGTCTTCAGAGGTCTCCTGAAACGGTTTTTAAAACTTACATTAGCATTGAACGTAGAAAAATATACTTTGTTGAAGCAAATCCTACATTATTAGAGTAACAGATTCATGATTAACATGTCATATGGTCTTACGACTTCAAAACTCACGAAAATATGAGACATATTTCCAAAAAAAAAACCCCGAAAAGATACAATGAATGACGTAATACCCGTTTAAATTTAGTCAAAATCTGACCAATACTAACAAAGATATGTGGTGCTTAACACAGGTGACGATTGTAACAAAAAAATTCTACTCGTTTAAATTTAGTCACAATCTGATCGATACTAATAAAGATAAGCGGTGTTCAACAACGAATGACATGCAGATGAGTGTTGCAGCAAAAATT